TCTACAGATGTAGATGCCACTGGTTCTTCACGTTCTGCAGATGTAGATGCCACTGGTTCTTCACGTTCTGTAGATGTAGATGCCACTGGTTCTTCACGTTCTGCAGATGTATATGCCACTGGTTCTTCACGTTCTGCAGATGTAGATGCCACTGGTTCTTCACGTCCTGCAGATGTATATGCCACTGGTTCTTCACGTTCTACAGATGTAGATGAAACTGGTTCTTCACATTCTGCAGATGTAGATGCCACTGGTGTCTTCACGTTCTACAGATGTAGATGCCACTGGTGCTTCACGTTCTGCAGATGTAGATGCCACTGGTTCTTCACGTTCTGCAGATGTAGATGCCACTGGTTCTTCACATTCTGCAGATGTAGATGCCACTGGTGTCTTCACGTTCTACAGATGTAGATGCCACTGGTGCTTCACGTTCTGCAGATGTAGATGCCACTGGTTCTTCACGTCCTGCAGATGTATATGCCACTGGTTCTTCACGTTCTGCAGATGTAGATGCCACTGGTTCTTCACGTTCTGCAGATGTAGATGACACTGGTTCTTCACGTCCTGCAGATGTCGATGCCACTGGTTCTTCACGTCCTGCAGATGTCGATGCCACTGGTTCTTCACGTTCTGCAGATGTCGATGCCACTGGTTCTTCACGTCCTGCAGATATGATTGCCACTGGTTCTTCACCACCGCCATCTATTGCGCGGCGGTTGAACTTACAACTTTCGGTCCGAACGGGCAACTGGATGTACGGACCAGGGTTGTTCGTATGTCTGAAAGTTCGCAAGTCGAATTTTCGCAAGTAGAGGAGAGTTTCCCCCTTGTTTGTCTGTGGCAGCGCTACGAAAACCACGGGGTATTGTTCATGGCTACTCGACGGTTGCTGTTTATCCGAGACGAATGAGGCCGTATCTGTGAGACATCGCTCATGCCCCCTCCTCCCTCCCTCCCTTACGCAGAGGTTCCCAGCTCCGGGGATAATGGCTCAGTGTCTAAACACTGCAGCCATTACCCTTGAGAGATAACTAGACCCAGGGTTTAAAGTTTAGTCTTCAGAGATGATCACTCAGTATCTGAACACTGCAGCCGGCGCCCTTGAGAGATAACTAGGCCCAGGGCTTGAAGCTTCGTCTTTAGAGATTATCACTCAGTGTCTGAACACTGCAGCCAGCGCCCTTGAGAGATAACTAGACCCAGGGTTTAAAGTTTAGTCTTCAGAGATGATCACTCAGGGTCTGAACACTGCAGCCGGCGCCCTTGAGAGATAACTAGACCCAGGGTTTAAAGTTTCGTCTTCAGAGATGATCACTCAGGGTCTGAACACTGCAGCCAGTGCCCTTGAGAGATAACTAGACCCAGGGTTTAAAGTTTAGTCTTCAGAGATGATCACTCAGGGTCTGAACACTGCAGTCGGCACCCTAGAGAGATAACTAGGCCCAGGGCTTGAAGCTTCGTCTTCAGAGATTATCACTCAGAGTCTGAACACTGCAGCCGGCACCCTAGAGAGATAACTAGGCCCAGGGTTTAAAGTTTAGTCTTCAGAGATTATCACTCAGTGTCTGAACACTGCAGTCACTACCCTAGAGAGATAACTAGGCACAGGGCTTGAAGCTTCGTCTTCAGAGATTATCACTCAGTGTCTTAATACTGCAGCCAGGGCCCTTGAGAGATAATTCGGCCCAGGGCTCGAACCTACACTTGCGAGTTTATGCCTCAGTGTCAGTAACAATGCAGCCGGTACTCTGACAGTTAACCAGGTCTAGGGCTTGAACTCAGAAGTATTGTTGCATCAATGCAGCCCAACAGGAGCCTCCTGAGAGAGAGAGAGAGAGGTGCCAACTTCAGAAAACTGAAGCCTGGTTCTGAAGAGGTCCCAGCTTGTGCTTTTTAACACATCCTCTGAGAGACTAACAGGTCCAGGGGTTGAACCTAGACGTCGGAGTTTCTAGCTCGATGGCTCGTGAAATCAGAATCTTGATTTAGACTGGAGGAGGAATCCGATGAGCTATGAAGCTCTAAAAGATGTCCCGTATAAGCTGGGGGGGGGGGGGGGTGGCATGTGCCCTCCCCAATGATCCGATCGAAATTAGGGATTTCGATCGGATCATTGGGGTTTATTAGTAATACATCGGCATTTTGCGACCCGCACTGCCACTGTGTAGCATATTATTACGTGCCAGGGACTCCATGAGTTGATAGGACAATAGTCTGAGTCCATAATTGGCAATAAGTAACGGCAAAGCGGTTATAAGTGACTCACAGAATTGTGCGCAGTTGCGTATACACAGTACACGACTTCCCTGAAGGCATCACACAGCTTCAGCGAGCGCGATGCCGATCACACGACGCGGTTCGAATTCGACCCTCGATCGATGACTGCGCCATCGCCGCACACGCGTCGAATAACAAGCAAGGGACAAGTCCTCACTTACTAACAACTCCTCTATCATTTTTCATTGCTGGAGGAGTTGCTCTCATTACACACACAAAGTGCTCGCCACAAATGAACCGCGAGTAACCTCGCTGCTGATACCTTTGCTGATCTCGTTAAGGAGTGTAAAGCATCGTCACGTCAACTCCGGTCATCCTTGCAGCAGCAGCAGCGGATTTTGGCTGTCCATCGAACAAAGACAATCACCGGCATCGCGCGGCGCTTTCAGATGCGCTTCCGTGGCCGTCTGGAACGCTCTCTTCCTTCCGACATTAGGAAGCCGCTGGGATCTATGCACATTTAAATCATCATCAAGATTGAAAACTCACTTCTTTAGAAATTATTTGTGTGTTTCGTTTGTTGTCCTTCCCCCCCCCCCCCCCCCCCCATTCCCCGTACCTCGGATGAGCGCGGCTGGCTACTTGCGGTGCGAAAGAAGTTCAACCGTACGTAGGTACACAGTGTCAAAACACAGCCGCCGGTCTCCTTCGAAGCACACAGTCGCTAGTCGCTTGAACGCGCGACCCTGCGGAGGTCGCCACTCCCCCGGGAGACACCCATGGGCGGTTCTTTGGCCTCTCTTCCCACCAGGCGCTCTATTCGTGATCTATTCAGATCCTCGATCGGCTTTGTTTGCACCGCGTTTTACGCTTTTGGGCACTGACTCAAGTGATTCATTTCTTGTACTCATGACACGTAATGCCTATATCCCGTTGATGTTAACCGAGGGACTACTGTATTGCGGTCCGGGGGGGGAGGTGGGGGGGAAGAAAGGGGGGGGGGAAACCGGGTGGTCGGGGGCGTGGGGGGCGAGGAGGCGTGGGGGGTGGGGTGTCACGCGCCTTGATGGCAGCTTTCAAAGGCGCCGAGGCGGTGCGGAATACCGGAGCCCACAAATTGCGGCGGGGGCAAAGCCGGTTTCTGAAAGAGCCGAATCTGGGAATTCGGCCGCCAGGGGGGGGGGGGGGGGGGGAAACAAAAAACATGGCGCTCGGCTCCGCAGGCTTTCATCAAGAATGGGAACGCAACGAACCGGACGCGCGTGTGCGTGTGTGTGCGTGTGTGTCCGCGCGCTTGTGATCTGCACACACGCGCGGGACCGTGCATTCCGCTCGCGATGTACCGGGGAGGGGGGGGGGCAGCATTATGTACAGCTCCCTGGCCCCCAACCCTCCCCCCCCGTCCTTCAACGGACTGCTGGTTAACGAGCGTCTATTGAGGGCCAGCCACCCACGCAGGAAGGCGGTGGTCGGTGGCGATTATCTAAATCGGTCCCGGGGCCTCCCCTAAGTCGACTCAACCTTGAATGAGTACACGAACCCGGCAACCTCCAGTTCTGATTCCCGGCCACGGCTCGCTACCATCGGTGGCGATTATCTGAACCGGTCCCGGGGCCTCCACCTAAAATGAGTACACTGCAGTGCTGAGTGCGGTGTGGATTACAGACTACATGCGCCGCGCACCGCGCCACAAACCCGGCGGCCCCAAATTCGATTCCCGCTCACGGCCACCAACAACAGCAGTGACGATTATCTGAACCGGTCCTGGGCCTCCTCTCCTAGGTGTGTAGTAAACATCGGAGACTAAGGTGATCGGGGCGTGGTGCTGGCCACCCACCCACCCAACTCTCGTGTGCCGTGCCTGGCCTCCATAGGTGCTCGCGAACAGCGCTTGCCCCAAAGGTCTGTTTCGTCCTGTAGGGGGGAATCTTCGTCTTTGTACCCTCGTGTGTGCGTGTGGTGTGTGTGCGTGTGGTGTGTGTGTGTGCGTGTGGTGTGTGTGTGTGGGGTGTGTGTGGTGCGTGTGGTGTGTGTGTGTGGGGTGTGTGGGGTGTGTGTGGTGTGTGTGTGGGGTGTGTGGGGTGAGTGTGGTGTGTGTGTGTGGGGTGTGTGTGGGGAGTGTGTGGCGTGTGTGTCGTGTGTGTGTTTGTGATGTGTGCGTGTGGTGTGTGGGGTGTGTGTGGTGTGTGTGTGGGGTGTGTGTGGTGTGTGTTTGGTGTGTGTGGTGTGTGGGGTGTGTGGTGTGTGTGTGGGGTGTGTGTGTGCGTGGGGTGTGTGCGTGTGGTGTGTGTGGTGTGTATGGGGTGTGTGTGGGGTGTGTGTGCGTGGTGTGTGTGGGGTGTGTGTGGTGTGTGTGTGTGGGGTGTGTGCGGGGTGTGTGGGGTGTGTGGGGTGCGTGTGGTGCGTGTGGTGTGTGTGGGATGTGTGTGGTGTGTGTGTGTGGGGTGTGTGTGGTGTGCGTGTGGTGTGTGTGTGTGGGGTGTGTGCGGTGCGTGTCGTGTGTGTGTTTGTGGTGTGTGCGTGTGGGGTGCGTGTGTGTGGTGTGTGTGGGGTGTGTGTGGGGTGTGTGTGCGTGGGGTGTGTGGGGTGTGTGGGGTGTGTGTGGGATGTGTGCGTGGGGTGTGTGGAGTGTGTGTGGTGTGTGTGTGAGTGGGGTGTGTGGGGTGTGTGTGGTGTGTGTGTGCGTGTGGTGTGTTAGAATTATCCCTGCGCGTGCTTACTACCTCCCCCACCTGCCACGTGCCCACGTGCGCACGCGCGTGCGTGTGTGTGCGTGCGCGTACTGGAGGGCATGGTGCGGGCTGTGACGGCCAGCGTGGCGGGTCCCAGGCCGTGTCCGGAGCGCGCCGCCAGACGGAAGCTGTAGAGCGTGTTGGGCTTGAGGCCCTCCAGGAGGTACGTCATGGTGGGGTCGAACGTCACCACCTGCTGCTGGTGGCGGCCGGCCAGCCAGCCCGACGCACGCGCACACGCACACGCACGCACACAGACACGCACGCACACAGACACGCACGCACACAGACACGCACGCACACAAACACGCACGCAGCTTCATTCGCCCGTCGGTTGCTCGCGAATTAGCATCTCGATTTAGGCTGGAGGAGGAAATCCGATGAGCTCTGAAGCTCTTTGTCACGGATGTCCAGCATAAGGTGTCGCGCTCGTCACGCACGCACGCGCGACCGCGCGCACAAAATGCTCGCCACAAATGAACCCGAAATACCTCGCTGCTGATTTCGTCAGGGAGCGTAAAACATCAACATCGTCACGCGAACTCCGGTCATCCTCGCAGCAGCAGCAGCAGCCCCAGCACCAGCAGCAGCAGCAGCAGCGGCGGCAGCAGCAGCAGCAGCGGCAGCAGCAGCAGCAGCAAGAGCGGCAGCAGCAGCGGCGGCTTTTGTCTCGGCCGTCGATCAAAGACGGAGGTCACCGCTGCGTCACACCTCTGCCCACGCGCGTTACGCGACAGCAACGGTGCCCCGTTGCCGGTCACGTGTCGATCTCAACGCTCCCGTCGCAGCCACGAACTCGTGCACGGACACCACGATGCCGTCCGCGCTCGCTCACCGCCATCCCACGTACTCACACCGCCGTCCCATGCACTCTCACCACCATTCTGCGCGCGTATCCACGTTGGACTTCTTTCGCATATCGTACGTAAATTTCGATTTAAAGCTTTCGTGACTGCAGGGATTCATCTTCTTGGTTCTTTCGGTAAAGTCACGTAGAATGGAAATAATAAAATAATAAAAATAAAACATAATAAAATAATTCTCACGACGTTTCGGCCACAACGCAAGCAGCCGTCCTCAGGTGGAGAACAGGTCTGTCGAGAAGACTCATTCAGACGCTGTCTTCCCGACAGACCTGCTCTCCACATGAGGACGGCTGCTTGCGTTGTGGCCGAAACGTCGTGAGAATTGTATTTTATTATGTTTTCTTTTCGTTATTTTATTATTTCCATTCTACGTGATGACTTTACCGAAAGAACCAAGAAGATATCGTACGTAGCCAACCGCGCGAATCGGAGGTGCGGGGCGGAGCGGGGGGGAAGGATAACCAGAAGATTCTTGACTCGAGGACAGATCGCCGCCGCTACTCATCTCTCCCCGGTACCGTCACACTCCGTGCCTCTCCTGTGCCGCACCGCACTCTGCCTAGCGAGTAAACCCGCTCGCCTCGAGGTAACATTTGCATGCGATTTGCACGAGCAACTAATTCCAAGCGCCGAGCGTAAAAATAGAATCTCATCAACGAGTCGTTCGCGGAGGGGCCTCAAGCCACTGTTGACTTTTTCGCAAAGTTGTACTCAATTTATCAACCGCCCCCCCCCCCCCCCCCGGGCACGGAGGGTTGGTGATAGGAACATGGATCTAGACAGCACCTCGGTGATCTGTCAGCCTGGCCTCACTCCGGCTCACTGATGAGTTGTTAACTACCTCGCCTGGTATACAGGAGGTCGTGGGTTCGATCTCGACCCTGACGATGCCTGCTGCTGTAGATTTGGAGTTTGCGTGTCTCTCTCTCTCTCATCATCATCACGGTGGCTAGGAGATGTTGACTACCTCGCCTGGTGTACAGGAGGTCGTGGGTTCGATCTCGCCCCTGACGATGCCTGCTGCTCTATATTTGGAGTTTGTGTGTCTCTCTCTCATCATCATCACGGTGGCTAGGAGATGTTGACTACCTCGCCTGGTGTACAGGAGGTCGTGGGTTCGATCTCGACCCTGACGATGCCTGCTGCTGTATATTTGGAGTTTTTGTGTGTCTCTCTCCCCGTGGTCACGTGGATTTTTCTCCGGGTCCTCCGGTTTTTTTAGAGTCGACGTCACGGCGTTTAGAGTATTTGGCTGCTGCCATGCATGTCCACGTGATGAGCCACTTCGTTGGGCTATCATCATGTGTGGCAGCCAGGCGGCTTCTGAAAAAAAGCTTTATAGCTAAGTGGGCCTTAACTGTTCAATAGTTTTAGTTTAATATTCCATCTCCTCCTCCTCCTCCACCTTCCACCTACTCCTCCTCCCTGCCTCCGCAGCCTTCTCCACCCCGCTCGCCTCCCTCCACTCCACGAACTCTGGCTCCCTCCACCTCGCTCCCAGGATCTGCTGCTCTTTCAGCCGTGCGAGTCTATGTAGGTTTGCGGGTCTCTGTGCTAGTCTATGGGTCTCTATCTAAGTCAATGGGCCTCTGTTATTCTGTGCGCCTCTGTGAAGTCCATGGGTCTCAGTGCTAGTCTACTGTGTGTCTCTCTCTCTCTCTCCGCGTGTCTCTCCGTGTGTCTCTCAGCGTGTCTCTCCGCGTCTCTCTCTCTCCCCAGCGGGCGCTCTTCAAAGTCGGTTCGCCGGTGCGATTGCACCAATCAGAGGCGGCGGCAAAGAGCGGAGAGTCGAGCGCGGACGAGTAGCGGAGAGTGGAAATCGGTGGAGAGCCGGAGAAAAGGAAGGATGTTTAAACCCGGTACACCAACATCCCCCAGTAGTACCTCTTGCCCTGGCTGTGGCTACTGCACCGGTGGCATCTCAGGGAGCCCCCTGTCCAGCCGAACCAACCGCCCCCAGCTGCCCCCAAATTTTTTGCTCACGGCAAGCTTGCGCTCTCACATGAGCCTGACATGGTGGTGGTGGCTCTCCCCAGAACCACATTTGTTTTCGAGTATTGGATAAAAGTCAGCAGCATTGTCACTTTCCGCGGCCACAGACATCGCATTACCTCCTCTCTCTCCTCTCTCTCGTTACAGATCGCCGGGGAACATAGGCCTGCCCGCCGGGCGGGCGGCCGGGCGAGCGGGGTGATTTAACATCATCCGTAAGCGTTATTGAGGTTATTTTTTTTTGGTTGAAAAAAGATCGATCGTTTAATTCGCGCGTGCGGGCGTTTCTGCGATGATTTTCCGTCACCGCTAATTCCTCGCTGGCCCCCCCCCGCCCTCCCGCCCACCCCCCCGTGATTATCACCACCCCCTAGCTCCCCCCCCCCCTCTGCCATCATCAAATCCTGTCCGTGCCATCGACAAAGGAGCCGCTTCGAGGATGGTGGGTGGGGGGGCCGTTATCGTCACCGGAAGGATGTGGACTTTCAACTAACAGGGTGAGGGAGCGGGAAGGGATGATAGGCAGTTAACATCTCGCCACGGTGGCTACGAGATGTTAACCACCTCGCCTGGTGTGCAGGAGGTCGTGGGTTCGATCCCGACCCTGACGACGCCTGCTGCTGTATGTTTGGAGTTTGTGTGTCTCTCTCTCTCTCATCATCACGGTGGCTAGGAGATGTTAACTACCTCGCCTGGTATATAGGAGGTCGTGGGTTTGATCCCGACCCTGATGACGCCTTCTGTATATTTGGAGTTTGCGTGTCTCTCTCTCTCTCATCATCATCATCACGGTGGCTAGGAGATGTTAACTACCTCGCCTGATATATAGGAGGTCGTGATTTCGATCCTGACCCTGATGATACCTGCTGTATGTTTGGAGTTTGTGTGTGTCTCTCTCTCTCATCATCACGGTGGCTAGGAGATGTTAACTACCTCGCCTGATATATAGGAGGTCGTGATTTCGATCCTGACCCTGATGACGCCTGCTGTATGTTTGTAGTTTGTGTGTCTCTCTCTCTCTCATCATCACGGTGGCTAGGAGATGTTAACTACCTCGCCTGATATATAGGAGGTCGTGGGTTCGATCCCGACCCTGATGACGCCTGCTGCTGTATGTTTGTAGTTTGTGTGTCTCTCTCTCTCCCTCTCTCCCCGTGGTCGCGTGGATTTTTCTCGGGGCTCCTCCGTTCGTTTCCCCTCCACATTTGAGAATCGACGTCGCACGTTTTTAAGAGTTACTTGGATCATGGGACCTCCTTTGCCAGTACCAAAATATACCAATAGGGTTTTTCCCCTTTTTTCTGGCAACAAAACTGACACCTTTTGCAAGGAATCATGTCTACATTAACCGCAATACTTGCAGTCAAATGCAAACAAAAAAACAATACTCTGGTAATTTATGCATTGTCTTTGAAACTGATTGGTCCACACCAGAGACAGCTGTCTCCTTGCAAAAGGTGTCAGTTTTGTTGCCAGAAAAAAGGGGAAAAACCCTATTGGTATAGTTACTTGGATGCCGTGAATTTCCCCGTGCTGACGACGATGAGCCACTTCGCCGAGGCTATCGCTTGCGGCCAGGTCGCTTCGGAAAAAAAGGCTGCGTAAGCTCACCGGGGCCTTACCCTGGTGGTAAGTAAAAACAACGACAAGTTTAAGAGCGGAGTCAATAATTACACTGGTCAACAACAAAAAAACATTTTTTTCTGGCCTGGACTTTTGCAGCTGTTCTAGACTAATTTCAGGGTGCCGATTCCAAATCTGGTCTCAGATTTGCTCTATCACATCTCATTTTTATGCTATCGGCATACCCCATTTTCATTGATTTTACCCGAAATTAACTCTGTCACTTATGATTGCAAGTTGTTGCGAGTCAGTGACTGCTTTAGCGTTAAAATATGGTGCTGTATTTTTAGGATAGTGTGTTTATAATATCATTTTATGTAGATATCCACATTTATTTAATATTTTTCTTCCGCAGTTTTTATTGAAAATGCAATATTTGATATCTCAAAAACCTGATGTAATAGACAAAAACTGATGCCACATTTGGAATCAGCACCCCCCCAAAATTACATTAAAACCGATGGAATACCTTGTGCCAGAAAAAGTGTGTTGACCAGTGTAATCTACGTCGTGGGGCGTCTTCCATCGGTCATATAACGAAAGCCGACGAAAGAGCATAAGACTGCGAGGTCCCTGGGGAAGGGGGGGGGGGGCGGATTCATCGTTGTCACAGCGTCTTTAGCGGCGAAACTTTTACTTCATTTGCGTCCTCTCCTGAGTTATATTCCAATTGGGCTTTTGTCACGAGCGGTTAGAAGAAGACGATTTCGCGTGCTTTTCGTTTACGACCGTTAACAACAAAAAATAAAGAACGCCTCGTTCGTTAGTCCCGCGATATCCCCCTAAGGCGCCCGCTGCACGTACTCGGTTCAACCACGAAAGAGGCTTTCGGGACCGATATCATCCATAATAGAGGTCTTTTTTGTTGTTGGGTTCGATCGCGTAAATATATACAAATGTGTCGTTAAACCCGCCATCACTTAGTAAGGTTTGTCCCGTAAACAGAACTTGGCCAATTCGTTCCTCGTACAGCTTCATCAGGCGAATGGTGGTGGGTTTGACGACACGGTGAAATATTTACGCGATCTAACCCGATAAAACACCTGTATTGTGCACGTGCGAGCAACCCGTGTAACCAATCGGCGCGAGCTCAGAAAAGCCGTGGATCTCGACGGGCGTCTCGACGGCGAAGCCGGGCCGCCCTCATTTGTGCGAACGAGAGGCTCGCCGTACTGGCCGGTGTCTTGAGATCTCCATCCGGTTTAGAGACTCGAATCTCGAAATTGACAGATTCACCGCGTGGGCTTGCGCGACCGATGTTATTCAGCGACCATCGGGCGCTGGCACAGACGCGCGAGAGAGATGGGTGACGCGTGGGGGTAGGCAAGAAGGGCGCTGACTGTTCGTCAGGCTGACACAGGCGCGCGAGAGAGAGAGATGGGTGACGCGTGGGGGTAGGCAAGAAGGACCCTGACTGTTCGTCAGGCTGGCACAGACGCGCGAGAGAGAGAGATGGGTGACGCGTGGGGGTAGGCAAGAAGGGCGCTGACTGTTCGTCAGGCTGACACAGGCACGCGAGAGAGAGATGGGTGACGCGCGGGGGTAGGCAAGAAGGGCGCTGACTGTTCGTCAGGCTGACACAGGCGCGCGAGAGAGAGAGATGGGTGACGCGTGGGGGTAGGCAAGAAGGGTGCTGACTGTTCGTCAGGCTGACACAGGCACACGAGAGAGAGATGGGTGACGCGTGGGGGTAGGCAAGAAGGGTGCTGACTGTTCGTCAGGCTGACACAGGCACACGAGAGAGAGATGGGTGACGCGTGGGGGTAGGCAAGAAGGGCGCTGACTGTTCGTCAGGCTGGCACAGGCACGAGAGAGAGATGGGTGACGCGCGGGGGTAGGCAAGAAGGGCGCTGACTGTTCGTCAGGCTGACACAGGCACACGAGAGAGAGATGGGTGACGCGTGGGGGTAGGCAAGAAGGGCGCTGACTGTTCGTCAGGCTGACACAGGCACGCGAGAGAGAGATGGGTGACGCGCGGGGGTAGGCAAGAAGGGTGCTGACTGTTCGTCAGGCTGACACAGGCACACGAGAGAGAGATGGGTGACGCGCGGGGGTAGGCAAGAAGGGTGCTGACTGTTCGTCAGGCTGACACAGGCACACGAGAGAGAGATGGGTGACGCGTGGGGGTAGGCAAGAAGGGTGCTGACTGTTCGTCAGGCTGACACAGGCACACGAGAGAGAGATGGGTGACGCGTGGGGGTAGGCAAGAAGGGCGCTGACTGTTCGTCAGGCTGGCACAGGCACACGAGAGAGAGATGGGTGACGCGTGGGGGTAGGCAAGAAGGGTGCTGACTGTTCGTCAGGCTGACTCAGGCGCGCGAGAGAGAGATGGGTGACGCGTGGGGGTAGGCAAGAAGGGCGCTGACTGTTCGTCAGGCTGACTCAGGCGCGCGAGAGAGAGATGGGTGACGCGTGGGGGTAGGCAAGAAGGGCGCTGACTGTTCGTCATGCTGACACAGGCGCGAGAGAGAGAGATGGGTGACGCGTGGGGGTAGGCAAGAAGGGCGCTGACTGTTCGTCAGGCTGGCACAGGCGCGAGAGAGAGAGATGGGTGACGCGTGGGGGTAGGCAAGAAGGGTGCTGACTGTTCGTCATGCTGACACAGGCGCACGAGAGAGAGAGATGGGTGACGCGTGGGGGTAGGCAAGAAGGGCGCTGACTGTTCGTCAGGCTGGCACAGGCGCGAGAGAGAGAGATGGGTGACGCGTGGGGGTAGGCAAGAAGGGCGCTGACTGTTCGTCAGGCTGACACAGGCGCGCGAGAGAGAGAGATGGGTGACGCGTGGGGGTAGGCAAGAAGGGCGCTGACTGTTCGTCATGCTGACACAGGCGCACGAGAGAGAGAGATGGGTGACGCGTGGGGGTAGGCAAGAAGGGTGCTGACTGTTCGTCAGGCTGACACAGGCACACGAGAGAGAGAGATGGGTGACGCGCGGGGGTAGGCAAGAAGGGCGCTGACTGTTCGTCAGGCTGGCACAGGCGCGCGAGAGAGAGAGATGGGCGGCGGCGGCGGCGGCGGCGGCGGGTACCTCGCTGGCGGTGGTCGCGGTGCCGTCGCCGGGCCGGTATGCGAGCTCGTACTTGAGGATGCCCTCCTGCCGCGGCGGGGTCCACGTGAGAAGCACGCTGCTCGCCGACTCGGCCTCCGCCTTCAGGTTGATGGGCTGGTTGGGCACTGCCACGCGCAACAGAGACGCCCCGCCGGGCAACCCGCGCCGCGTGAGCCTCGCACGGTCCTGTCGGTGGGCGCGCGGCGTCGTTTTCACCGGCGCAAATCGACGGGCGCGCGCGCACACGCAGGCCGCCCTCACCTCCCTCCTGCGTGCGTATGCGCAGCTCGGGCGAGAACGGCCCGTCGCCCACCGACGTGTAGGCGAGCACGCGCACCGCGTAGTCCACCTGCGGCGTCAGGTCGCGGATCGTGGCCAGCATGACGTCGCTCGTGTCCGAGTGCTTCCACGTGTGCACCTGCGGGGTCCACCGTCGTCATCACCATCGTTATCACCATCATTGTCGTCATTGCCGTCATCACCTTCATCATCATCACCATCATCATCACCGACATCATCATCATCTCCGTCGTCGTCGTCATCATCATTGTCGTCATCATCAACATCGTCATTGTCGTCATTATCATCACCATCATCACCGTCATCATCATAATCACTGTCATCACCGTCATCATCACCCTCATTGTTGTCATTGCCGTCATCACCTTCATCATCATTATCATCATCACCAACATCATCATCATCACCGTCGTCATCATCATCATTGTCGTCATTATCATCACCGTCATCATCATCATCATCACCGTCATCATCATCACCCCCGTCATTGTAGTCATCATCTTCATCATCACAGTCATCATCATCATCACCACCGTCATCATCATCATTGTCGTCATTGCCGTCATTGCCGTCATCACCTTGATCATCATCATCACCGACATCATCATCATCACCGTCATCATCATCATCATCACCTTCATCATCACCGTCATCATTGTCATCATCATCACCGTCATTGTCGTCGTCATCATCTTCATCATCACCGTCATCATCATCATCATCATCACCACCGTCATCATCATCATCACTGTCATTGTCGTCGTCATCGTCGCAATCACCAACTCGCCGAGGACTCTTGCGGGGGATTTTCTTTGTTTTAAACCGCCGTCCCGGGTTTTCCAACGACAACAAAAAAACTAAACCGCAGGCCGAAAAGTGTCGACAAAATAACGGCCGACAAAGACCAAGACGTCTCCCGGGAAGAGACGTCTGACTCGCGTTTCATCGGCGGAATCCTCCCCCAGCCTCCACCCCGCCCACCGGCAAAATATTTGAATATTTTTGTTGTCCACGCGAACGGAGCGGCCTTTGAGCTTTCACAGCAGCGGCGGCGGCAACGGCGGCTGGAGAGAGCGCGGTGTTTTTGAAAAGCGAAAGAACAACAAAAGGAGCACTCAGGATAAAAAAACATTCCGCTGCCCTGAAACGTTGAGACTCAGATGGCGGCAAATGGGGGGGGGGGGGGGGGGGGGGGAGAGAGGAGAGGGACGGGGAGGGGAGCTACTCAACGCACGCGCGAATCACACAATGAGTTCCATATTCTTAGGTTTTTTCGGTAAAGTCACGTAGGTAAAACATTAAAATTAATAAAAGTAAAATAAAATAAAAATCACGACGTTTCGGAGGCAACACAAACTTCCGTCTTCAGGTGGAACCGTCACAGCCACGACAGCTGTATCAGCTTTTATTTTACTTTTATTAATTTTAATGTTTTTACCTACGTGACTTTACCGAAAAAACCTAAGAATATGAATCCTTGCAGTCACCAAAGCTTCAAATCTAGAAACAATGAGTTCCATTTGCGAATGCACAGTTCACCCCTTTACGGGTGGCGTGGCTTTAAAAAGAAAAAAAACCCCACCACGTTTTCCGGATCGTACGCCCGGGGTGGCGTGAGGTGGGGTTGGGGGCCCTAATTGGGGGCCTTTGACCCGGCCGATGACCTCCGTGCGAAGGTCGTACAATATGATATACCGATTGTGAATGATGATGGTGGTGGTGATGATGCCGCTGCTGCTTATTATGGGAAACAAAACAACCAGTAGATACTCGGCTGTGCGCGTTGTTCACAATTGCGATTTTGAGAGGGTGGGGTGGTGGTGCGAAACAGAAGATCGGCGCTGGATACGGCCACATTTGCAAAATGTCAATTTGTTAATTGAATCCATTTCAACGTGGAATTTGTATCGGGGGACTGTGCGGCGTTCTCTCGGCGTGGTCTGGGAACAGTTTGTTTTTGAAGTCGTTTTTTTTTTACCGACCCCTTTCCGAACCTTGGGAACCGACGATGCGCTCCGAACTCATGCGCTTTATTAATTTATGAATTAAGGGGGCACCACGGTGGCAGTGATGTCGCTCAGTAGCTTTGCAGCAGCAATGCTGAGAAAACCCTGGGTGCTAATGGCAAGATAATTATTGTTTTTTTGTCTGCGTTAGGTAGCGTAAGCGTAGCTGCGTCGTACGCCCACCCCACCCAACACAACCTCCAGCTGGTGGCTAGGAGATGTTGACTACCTCGCCTGGTTTACAGGAGGTCGTGGGTTCGATCTAGACCCTGACGATGCCTGCTGCTGTGTATTTGGAGTTTGCGTGTCTCTCTCTCTCATCATCATCACGGTGGCTAGGAGATGTTAACTACCTCGCCTGGTGTACAGGAGGTCGTGGGTTCGATCCCGACCCTGACGACGCCTGCTGCTGTATATTTGGAGTTTGCGTGTCTCTCTCTCTCATCATCATCATCACGGTGGCTAGGAGATGTTAACTACCTCGCCTGGTTTACAGGAGGTCGTGGGTTCGATCTAGACCCTGACGATGCCTGCTGCTGTGTATTTGGAGTTTGCGTGTCTCTCTCATCATCATCACGGTGGCTAGGAGATGTTAACTACCTCGCCTGGTGTACAGGAGGTCGTGGGTTCGATCCCGACCCTGACGACGCCTGCTGCTGTATATTTGGAGCTTGCGTGTCTCTCTCTCTATCATCATCACGGTGGCTAGGAGATGTTAACTACCTCGCCTGGTATACAGGAGGTCGTGGGTTCGATCCCAACTCTGACGCCTGCTCTATATTTGGAGCTTGCGTGTCTCTCTCTCCCCGTGGACAGGTGGACTAATTTTCTCTAGAACTGCTTTTCGTGTCTAGTTTGTCCTTCTGCCCGTACCCCCGATGAGCACGGTTGGCTACGCACGGTGCGAAAGAAGTTCAACGTGCGCGCGTACATACGCCGGTGCAAAAGAGCTTCGTGCCTCATCCGATTCCTCACCAGCCGTAAATAAACATCACGATTCCGACTTAACCACTCGGAAACAACTGGCCCCACGCACCCACGTTAGGACCGAACGCACGCAGCCGAATTCTCTCCCGAAACTCAGAACGGAGGCGAGATGACGAATCTCAACGGGGGAGTTTCCTTGATCACCCCGCGCCCCCCCCCGGGCTAAGGGGCCTCCCCACGGACTGAATGGCCGTTTAGTGCGGCGGCGATGGGTGGCGACGGGTGGCGAATGCGCGATGAAAGTGGCGGTGGCGTCGATGCGTTACCGCAACGAATGTTGGGGGGGGGGGGGGCGGGTGATGGTTTGGCTCCGGTGTTGTAGCAGGCGAGCCTCCGCTAAAGAATCACCATCGGCTCTTGCTGATCGCACCCTCCCCCCGCCCGCCGCTACCCCCCCACCCACCCCTTCCCGTCACCCCGAAGGGCGCCGACTTAATAGAGACTTGTTCGTGACTCGCGATTTAACCCCGGTTAAATATTTAGGGATAAACAACCAGAGATAAACACGCGGGAAACAGTGGGGCGGTGAGGGTGGGCTCCCGCTCTGCTCGTGCTCGCTCGAGGAGAGAGCGTTGACAGCGCTGGGAGTTCACCCACCATCCCAGCGCCCCCACCGCCCTCGATCCTAACTCTGATTTAGCGGCGGTGTTGACATGGCGCGAGCTTCAATTACGCGGCTTGCGGCTCGACGTTGTCGTCACCGCCACCCACCCCCCCCTCCTCCTCCCGTCAACGCCACCGGTGCCGCGGCCACCGCCCGTTCGTAGGTTGCGGCTTTTGCGAAATACGACGGAGATTCCGGTTCTATTTCTAGATTTGAAGCTTTCGTGACTGCAAGAATTCATACGCTTAGGTTTTTTTCCGGTGAAGTCACGTTGGTAAAAAATAGAATTAAAATAAATACAATTAATAATAGAGATAAAATAATAAATCACGACGTTTCGGAGGCAACACAAGCTTCCGTCTTCAGGTGGAACAGTCACAGCACGATTGCCGTATCAAGTAAAGAGAAATCGGGTCTCTTTGGGATTTCTCTTTACTTGATACAGCAATCGTGCTGTGACTGTTCCACCTGACGACGGAAGCTTGTGTTGCCTCCGAAACGTCGTGATTTATTATTTCATTTCTTTCGATAAAGTCACGTAGGTACTGTTGATGTGACTACTATATGTGACTACCCACGTGACCGAAAGAACCAAAGAGTATGGATTCCTGCAGTCACGAAAGCTTCAAATCTAGTTCAACATACACACGATATTACAAAGTCACTGGAGCATTGCAATTTTTAAATATATTATTATTGTTATCATTATCAGAGTTGCTTCTTTTTGTTTGCTTTTTTGACTACTTGTGTTGTGGTTATTGCAAACATGATGCCTTGAATAAAGGTGTCAGTTTTGTACCAGTTTAAAAGGGTAAAAACCTATTACTATTTTAAAATATAGCCTGCGTCCCCCCCCCCACGCACCTCCGATTAGCACAGTCGGCTATGTACGCCGCGAAATAAGTTCAACATATACACACATGCAAGGGAGGAACCCTGCCCAAGGATCTCAGTGGAAGTGGCTCGGCATCTACTGACACAGTCATTATAAACCTCTCTTGATAGATAAAAGATACGTCTCAGGCGCAGAGCTTGAACCCAGAATCTCACAATGTGCTGGCTGAGTGTCTGTGACAAGGCGAATTTTCTAACCTTCCAAGGAACGATATCCCGTGGCCGATTGAAACGAAACGTGCATTTAAATTATTTTGCTGCTATAAATTGTCACACGATAAGCCCCTTCGTCGATCAATCAGTGGGGCTTTACCTCTTAAGATAAAAAAATGGTTTAGTTTTTTTGTGGATATGTTTTGTTAAAGCGATATGTTTACCTTTCTTGAACTTTGCACCGCTTCTTGGTTCTTTCGGTAAAGTCACGTAGAAGGGAAGTAATAAAATAATAAAAATAAAACATTATAAAATAATTCTCACGACATTTCGGCTACAACGCAAGCAGCCGTCTTTACCGAAAAAACCAAGAAGATTCATTTTTAATATTTTATTACTTCCCTTCTACGTGACTTTACCGAAAGAACCAAGAAGATGAATCCCTGCAGTCACGAAAGCTTTACATCGAAATCTTTGCACCGCTATCGCATTTCTGTACTATTTGTTGTTCTGACGTTCTGACCCCGTGGCCCGACTGCACCCCTGTGAACAAGAGCTTTGTAGCTCATCGGATTCCTCAAAGATAAATCCACATTCTGATTTCGAACCGTGCAATATCTTCGGGAGGACGAACTCACTTGATACAGGTAGCGTGCTGTGACGGTCCCACCTGAAGACGGAAGCTTGTGTTGTCTCCCTCCGAAACGTCGTGATTTTTATTTTATTTTGTATTTTACTTTTATTAATTTAAATTTTTTACCTACGTGACTTTACCGAAGAAAAAACCTAAGAATAGGACGAACTCAGTTCGTGTGCACATTTTTTTATTTTTCCAGTTAAGGGCCCCACTGAGCTATGTAGCTCTTATTTACAAGCGAGCAGGCTATCACAAATGACAGCTCCAACAAGTGAGCTCATCATCATCGTCACGTAGACATTTACAGCAGCAGCCAAATAACTCGGAACGCGTGGTGACGTTGAGTCTAAACGTGAAGAAAAAATATGGATGGACCCGGAGAAAAATCCACTGCGATCACGGGGAGAGAGAGACACGCAAACTCCAAATATACAGCAGGCGTCGTCAGGGTCGGAATCGAGCCCACAACTTCCTGTATACCAGGCGAGGTAGTTAACATCTCCCAGCCACCGTGATGTTGATGAGAGGGAGAGAGACACGCAAACTCCAAATATACAGCAATCGTCAGGGTCGGGATCGAACCCACGACCTCCTGTACACCAGGCGAGGTAGTCAACATCTCCCAGCCACCGTGATGTTGATGAGAGGGAGAGAGACACGCAAACTCCAAATATACAGCAGTCGTCAGGGTCGGGATCGAACCCACGACCTCCTGTACACCAGGTGAGGTAGTCAACATCTCCTAGCCACCGTGATGTTGATGAGAGGGAGAGAGACACGCAAACTCCAAATATACAGCAGGCGGTCAGGGTCGGGATCGAACCCACGACCTCCTGTACACCAGGCGAGGTAGTCAACATCTCCTAGCCACCGTGATGTTGATGAGAGAGAGAAAGACACGCAAACTCCAAATATACAGCAGGCGTCAGGGTCGGGATCGAACCCACGACCTCCTGTACACCAGGCGAGGTAGTCAACATCTCCTGGCCACCGTAATGATGATGAGAGAGAGACACACAAACTCCAGATATACAGCAGGCATCGTCAGGGTCGTGATCGAACCCACGACCTCCTGTACACCAGGCGAGGTAGTCAACATCTCCTAGCCACCGTAATGATGATGAGAGAGAGATACGCAAACTCCAAATATACAGGCAGTCGTCAGGGTCAGGATCGAACCCACGACCTCCTGTACACCAGGTGAGGTAGTCAACATCTCCCAGCCACCATGGCGAGATGTGAAGAGCCACCTGGGTTCCCGCATCACGAGCCTGCGAGAGGCGGGGCGACCGGCGACCCGTGGTCATCTGTGGGGGCCCCACCGCGGCGGATGATTACGACGACGCGCACGCAGCGCGCGTGCGAGGAGCGCCATAGCGTGGCCTCGTCCTCCCCTAGGTCGACTCGACTTCCAATGAACACCTGGCACGGTGCGCGCGTGCACCATCATCAGCGGCAGCAGTGGCAGCAGCCGAACCATCCCTCGCCACCCGCCCTCCCGCCCGCCCCCCTCGGCGCCTCTCACCGGCTCCCGGTGCAGCTCCTGCTGCTGCGTGAAGGCGCCGTTCTTGCCGCTCTCGTGCCCCTCGTCGTCACCGTCGTCCTCGTCGTCGGCGCCGCCGCCGCCGGCGTCGCCGTCGTTGTTGTGGTAGAAGACGCGGTAGCCCAGGATGTGCCCGTTGGGCTCCTCGGGCTCTTCCCACGTGACGAGCATGGCCGTGGACGAGATCATGTGCGCCTGCACGTTGCGCGGGGCGCTCGACGGCGCCTGCTCGCCCGTGCGCGTCACCGTGACGCCGCCGGGCGGGCCCCGGCCCACCGTGTTCACGGCCGCCACGCGGAACTCGTACTGCGAGTAGGGGCCCAGGCCGCCGACGGTGTAGCGCGTCGTCGTGACGGTGTCGATCTCCTGCGTGGGGGGGCGGCGGCGGCGGTCAGCGGCAACGCGGGCTCGATTCCCGCTCGCGGACAACGGCGGTTATTTAGACCCGTCCTGGGCCTCCCCTAGGTCGACTCAGCCTCAAATGAGTACCTGGTTGTAGGTGTGTAGTAAGCATCGCCACTGGGGAGACAAAGGCGGCCGGGCGTGGTGCTGGCCACCCACCCACCCCCTCGTGTGCCGTGCCGGCCTTCGTAGGTGCTGCTCGCTAACAGCACTTGCCCCTACAGTCTGTTATGGCTATACGGGGGGTCTTTGTACTTGTTTTTATGTGCGTGTGTACGCGGGCACATTTGTAGGTGCGCGTGTGTACGTGTGTGTATGTACGTGCGTGCGAGTGTGCGTGAGTGCGTGTAGGTGTGTGTATCTACGTGCGTGCGTGAGTGTGTGAGTGCATGCGCCCGAGTGAGTGTGATGGTGTGCGTGTATTTGCGTGCGCGCGAGTGCATCATTGATCATCGTGTGGAAATCGAGCACCCACAGACACAACAACCTCCCTCACCACCACCACAATCATCGACACACACACACAACAACCTCCCTCACCACCACCACCGCCACCACCACAATCATCGACACACACACACAACAACCTCCCTCACCAACACCACCACAATTATCGAAACACACACACTGCCACAACCTCCCTCACCACCACTGCCACCGCCACCACCACCATCGACACACACACAGACAACCTCTCTCACCACCACCACAATCATCGACACACACACACACAGACAACCTCTCTCACCGCCACCACCACCATCGACACACACACAGACAACCTCCCTCACCACCACCACCACAATTATCGACACACACACACTGCCACAACCTCCCTCACCACCACTGCCATCGCCACCACCACCATCGACACACACACAGACAACCTCTCTCACCACCACCATCATCGACACACACACACAGACAACCTCTCTCACCGCCACCACCACCATCGACACACACACAGACAACCTCCCTCACCACCACCACCACCACCATCGACACACACACACACACAGACACACACACAGACACACACACAGACACACACACAGACACACACACCTCCCTCACCACCACCACCACCGACACACACACAGACACACACACAGACACACACAGACACACACACAGACACACACACAGACACACACACAGACACACACACAGACACACACACACAACAACCACCTCCCTCACCACCACCGCGACGAGCGGTGAGCGCTCACCTGGAAGGGTGCTGTGGGTTCCGACGGCGCGGCCGGCGCTGGCCTCGCCCGCGTCCCCGTGGTGGTGCCGCCACCACCGCCACCGCCACCACCACCGCCGTGGCCGGCGTGCCGCGGGCGGTAGAGCAGCGTGTAGTGACTCACGCGCTCCGTGTTGCCCGAGTCCCACGTCAGCGTCACGCTCGTCGGAGTCGTCTCCGTCACCACGGGGGCGCCCGGCGGGCGCGGCAGGGCTGGTGGTGAGGGGGTGGTGAGGGGGCGGTGAGGGGGTGAGGGGTGGGGGGTGGGGGGGGTGAGCGGTGGTGGGGGGGGGTCACATGCAGACCGGCGGCGTCGTCACTGGTGGTGAAGGAGGCGGCCGTGCCGGTGGCGGTCACGGGCGGCGAGATCACCGGTAGCAAAGGCAAAGATACCCCACACCCCCACCCCGTATAGCCTCAAGAGGCTGTTGGGGCAAGTGCCGATAGCGAGCCCACCACCACACACCCACACAAAGATCCCCCGTATAGCCTCACCAGGCTGTTGGGGTAAGCGCTGTTAGCGAGCACTCTCCCACACGGACACACACACACCCACACACAACCACACAGAGATTCCCCGTATAACCTCAACAGGCTTTTGGGTCACGTTCGCCACAAACACGATTCGAACGGCGTCTGAAACGCGACCGCCGTACTCACTCGAGGAAGCCCCGGGGTTTGGGAGGGAGGGTGCTGCTGAGCCCATCGGACAAAACAAAAAAATGAACCCGTAAAAACAAAGTTTTTCTCTCTAAACCCTTTATATGCGTGGCGGCTAGAGTCCTCTCGTCCTCTGGCTTGAGATGGCTGCCATTTAGGGGTCAGATGATTGTCTGCCAGCATTAAGCAATTGGTAATTTAATATTAAATTTTTTTCCCTAAACAGTGTAAAATTTAGGAATTTCTTTTCACGAAAATTAATTGTCTCGCACAACGAGCCTGTGTGGAAAATGTCAGCTCGATTGGATCACGGGAAGTGGGTTAAAAACGACCGAAAGATTTGCACGGTCGTAAGCAAGCAAGCAAGCACACGAGCAAGCAAGCGAACTTAATATAAAGGATTTAAAAAGAACGCCGCCACCGCCGTTGACGACGAGAGCCATCCGCGTGTCCGCCCGCGCGTTCATCGCCCACACGGGTTTTGATTGCTTACCCGTACCCGGCCGCACCAGGGTCGCAAATGGGTACCCGTACCCGGCCGGGTACTGGTACCCGTTCCCTACCCGTACCCTACCCGAAATTAGTGAAATTAGTGACAAACGGTTACTCTGTCTCCTCGACAGACCTGTTCTCCACCTGAGGACGGCTACTTGCGTTGTGGCCGAAACGTCGTGAGAATTATTTTATAATGTTTTATTTTTATTATTTTCTTATTTCTATTCTACGTGACTTTACCGAAAGAACCAAGAAGAAGACGGTGACTCACCAGTGACTCACGGCCTACCCGTACCCGTACCCGGCCGCACCAGGGTTGCAAACGGGTACCCGTACCTGGCCGGGTACGGGTAGCCGGGTATCGTGTAGGGTACGGGTATCGGGTACCCGATTGCGACCTCTGCCGGTCCATCAGCTCGCGCTCGCCCCCCTCCCGTAAGCCCCTGTCCGGCCACGCCGCCGAGCCAACGGCCCCCATCAATCTATCCCGCCGAGTTCCGCACGCGCGCATGGACGCGTGCGCGAGGGCAGGCACCAACACCGCGGGTCGCGCACCGCAGCCGTTACGCCGATCGATTCGTCGTAGGTCCGAAGGCGAAACGCTCGCGCACGCAGAGGCAACCACCACCCCCCCAACCCTCACCCACCACGCACCAGGCGCAGATTTGAGGCCGAGTCGACCTAGGGGAAGGCCCGGGACAAGGTGAGAAAATCGTCGCCGGCGATGGTGGTGGCCCTGACGGGGATCGAACCCCGGGTGGCCGGGTTTGGAGCGCACTGACCGCTACACTACGGCTCACCCCAATAAACACGGCTCACCACGCGCACGCACGTCCATGACGTGCAGTGCGCTGTACCTGTCCTTTGGTGAATGTGTGTTCGTGGTGCTGATGTCTGTTAGCAGAGCACATCCGTACATCAGCCACTGTTATTCTTTTCACACACATACACATATGGGATTGTTACATTCTCCATCTATAAGTCAGGGAGAATGTTCAGGCTGCCCTTTCCACGAAGAAAGACTGCAGCATGAAATGTTATCGTGCTCTCTGTGTGTGCGCGTGCGTGTGGGTGTCTGTGTGTGTGCGTGTATGGAGTGGGGAGCGGTGGTGTAGCAGTTAGCGCTACGCTGCGCTATGAACCTGGCGACCTGGGTTTGATTCCCGCTCACGGCCAACACCACAGTGACGATTATATTATCTGAACCGGTCCTGGGCCTCCCCTAGGTCAACTCAGCTTCAAATGAGTACCTGGTGCGATGTGTAAACATCGCCACTGGGGAGACAAATGCGGTCGGGCGTGGTGCTGGCCACCCACCCCCTTGTGTACCGTTCCGGCCTTCATAGGTGCTCGCTAACAGCACTTGCCCCTACAGTCTGTTAAGGCTATATGGGGGATCTTTGTCTCTGTGTGGGTGTCTGTGTGTGTATACTCTCTCTATGGAGGAGAGTCGTGAAGGACGCTGCTACTGGGCAGTTGGAGGCAGTCGCCCTCCAGCAACGACGGAGGGCAGAGGAGCGACGCTCACAACAATGAGCGGAGAGCCGAGCGGCTAAAACGTAGCCAGTTGGCAGCAGTGGCGGCTGGTGATATTTATTTTTGGGGGGGCGCATTTTTTTTATTTTATTGAGGGGGGCAAATAAATATAAAGCAGTACCAAAAACCATTTTGACTACTTTAATATAAATTTTGATGATCTTTATTTACATTTCAGACCAAAAGAAGTACCAAAAAGCATGTTTCCTACTTGAACATAAATGTTTCTCTTTTATATACATTTCAGACCAAAGTACCAAAAAGCATGTTTCCTACTTGAACATAAATGTTTCTCTTTTATATACATTTCAGACCAAAGTACCAAAAAGCATGTTTCCTACTTGAACATAAAAACGTTAGTTTCATGCTATTATCAATATGGCTGCGGCTACTTTCATGACGTTTGCATTTGTCAGAGAGATGTTTGAGGTCTCTTACCCCCGTCGTTGTCCACAAAACTTCAGTGCCGACACTTTGAAATAAAAGACAGGGAAAACAAAAAAGAGAATTGCTAACATCACATCCAGCCAGCCACCTCCGTTTCTCATAACAAGCGCGGGTGAAGCTTCGTGTGTAGCTTCGTCCTCTGTCACTGGCCTGCTGCTGGATTGTAAATCGGGTTGGTCCGGTCCGAGATCCTTTATCTTTTTTATTTCTTCCAGCGAAAGCCTTGTGAAAGGGTTTTTTTTGTAAATAAATTACAGAATTTGGATGAACTGCTGCCATTGTTTACACAAAAAATTTGATCAGCCTAGCAAGTGTCAAAGTGGTGTCGCCTTCGCACTCGCAGTAGTGGCCTACAGCGTAAATTTGAATGACAGGTGACGAGAACCAATCAGATTGGATAAAATAACATGTATCCAATTCTGATTGGCCAGGGACGCAACGACTTGCGCCCCGAGGAGAATCTTTAAGAAACCAATTAGAGACCAGCTTCAGGTCACATGCTGTCCGAAAATGTAAAGTCTCACATAGACATCCATTTGTCCGGCGCCCCGCATGAAACACATTGAAAAACATAGAAAATAGTTGACCGATTAAAGCCAGTTTTTATTAAATGCTGATGCTTTTCTTACTACCAGCCGGCACATCGTATGAAAAAAATATTTTATTTATGTATTTTTATATAAATTTTGTATACGTATATTTCTAGAATATTGATGGGGGCGGCGCCCCTGCGCCCTCTATTGACGAGCCGCCACTGGTTGGCAGAGTGATGGGTCACAGCCGGTGGTGCTGCATCTACCGGTCATCTCAGTCAGCCAACCCATGGCACCTGCTGGGTCTATCCCGTGACCTCCTGCCAGCAGCGAGCCTTCGACACTTCACGTGATAGCCTCAAAGTGCACCTGGCCTGGCACAGGCGCCGTGGTGAAATTACCGCTAATTAGTGGCGAATTGCGGGTCGTGGTATTGGTGTGTCCGTGGGGTGTGGTAGTGTGGCGGTTAGCGCTACGCTGCGCTACGAACCCGGCAACCACCCGAGTTTGATTCCCGCTCACGGCCAACACCGGCGACGATTATCTGAACCCGACCTGGGCCTCCGCAAGGTCGACTCAGCCTCAAATGAGTACCCGGTACTGTGCGTAACCATCGCCACTCGGGAGACAAAGGCGGACGGGCGTGGTGCTGGCCACCCACCCCCTCCGTGTGCCAGATCCGTTGATGTTGCCGTGCTCACGCAGCAGTAGCAGCAGCAGCACGGATCTCCCTTGTAACATAGCCACGGTATCATCGGCCGTGCTGCAACAAATCAATTGAACCGAGACTGTGTGGGGCGGACGGTCGCGGTGGATCTTGACACAGGAACGCGCGTCGCGTCGCTGTCAAAGGCAGTGGTAGCAGCGGCGGCGGCGGCGGTGGCAGCGTCTCACCGCGGCTACGCCAGAGGTCGCAAACGGGTTTTGATTCCTTACCCGTACCCGGCCGCACCAGGGTCGCAATCGGGTACCCGATACCCGTACCCTACCCGATACCCGGCTACCCGAAGTGGCTCATCATCGCGTGGAAATTTATAGCAGCAGCGAAATACTCTAAACGCGTGACGCCGATTCTAAATGTAGCGGGACAAACCGGAGGACCCGGAGAAAAATCCACGCGACCACGGGGAGAGAGAGAGACACACGTCAGGGTCGAGATCAAACCCACGACCTCCTGCGTACCAGGCGAGGTAGTTAACATCTCGCCACGGAGGCGCCACCAAAAGCACCGCCACTGCCTCAACGCCAATGCCTGAACGTCAAAACATCCGCCTTAGTCGGCAAGCGTTTACAAAAAAAAAGCCACCCACCAACTCTCCCATCAACCGATCCACCCAACCCACAAACCGACCCACCACACCCACCGATTGACCCACCAAACCCACCCACCGACCCAACCAATCGACTCACCCACCCACCCACCTCATCGACCGACCCACCCAACCGACCCACCCAACCCACCCACCACCGCCACCACCCCACAGCAACCAAAACATCCGCCTCAGTTGGCAAGCGTTCACAAATAAAATAAAACCACTCAGAACATCGCCGACGGATTTCACTCCCCCACCCACCCACCACAGCATCACCTTGCCCGCGCCCCCACCCTCCCACACCTTTGACGCTGATCTGCGCGGTGGCCTCGACGACGCCGAGGGACGAGAGAGCCACGCAGGTGTAGTTGGCGCTCTCACGCACGTTGCTCAACTCGAGGACGTTGCGAGCGATGGGCATCTCTTCCTCGGGCGTCAGGTCCTCGCCGCCCGACATCCACTTGACGTAGGGCAGCGGCGAGCCGGTGGCGACGCACGTCACGTTCACGCTGGCGCCGGGCATCACCTCCTGGCTCACCGGCGGCGTCGTCAGCCTCGGCGGCACGTGACGGACTGTGACGTCAGAAAGGGTGGGGGCGGCGGGGGGGGGGGGGAAGGGGGATTTCCAGAAACGAAAACAACAAAACAAACAGAAAAACAAAACCAAAGGAAGGATAACGATGATGATGATGATAATGATGATAACGGGAACGTGGATTATGACGGAACGGGTTGGTGGTGGTGGTTGGGCGGGGGAAATCAAGAAGAACAAGCAGAGAGAGAAAGAGACAAAAAGAAAAAAACGCAGTGGAATAAAACGAGTGAAAAATTATTCAAATGACGAGAAAACGAGGAGGAGGAAGGGGGTTGGCAACGGGAATGAGATGGGGGGAGGCGGTGTTGTTAATGTTTTGGGGGGGGGGTGGGTGCCGAGGGGGGGCGTCCGAAGTGGGGGGGCGGGGCAGAGGGGGGGTTGAGGGGGGTTCGGTGTAGTGGGGGGGGGTTCATGCTTTGTAGAAGGGGAGGGGGGGGGTGGTTGATCGTTACGCGAGCAGTGAATTCATGAAGAGGAGAGAGAGAGAGCGAGTGAGCGAGTGAGTGGAGATGAAAACAAAAGACGACAGAACGGACGGACGGACCGAACACGATGGCAACAACACAAAAATAAACCAGAACCGTGAAAATAACCGCAGCAGAATACAGGCACAAGCCAGCCAAAGAGATACTCTGACACCGTTTCATTACAAACTGGGTTTTTTAGTTTTTAGTTTGTTTTTCCAGCTCTAAAAGATTCGTCGTTAAGTAAAAACAATTGTTTTGTCGTTCTGTTAAATTATTACAATTACAGGGACTCCTCCACTTACGAACGAGCTCGGTTCCAGAGGCGTCTGTGCGTAAGTCGATGCGTCCTCAAGTCCAAAACATTTACTGCCTGTCGATTCCAAACGCGTCGCGCGGCGGGGGAATGAACGGCTTTGCGAGTTGCACAATCGACTCGCGGACGCAGACGCCACCACCAACTTACGATCTACGGACCGGGTTTGTCCGTAACTCTGAAAGTTCGTCGGCCGTACGCTCGTAAGTGGAGGAGCCCCCCCCACCCCGTCCCTTACCGCATTGAGATTAGGTCGGTCTGCTGTCACCTACCTCTGCGCCGTGCTCTCGTAAAATGAATGGGGTTTGGGCGAGGCGCGCTAAGTGGAACCTTCTATTAACACTTCGCCCCCCTGATTTGTTTTGATCGAGACCGGCATTTAAAACAAATGGCAGGTGGGGGGGGGGGGGGTAGGGATGGTTATAGTGCAAGGGGTGGTGGTGGGGGGGGGCGTTAGCAATTTACCGGCAAAAACATTTTGACATTTCGATGGATGCGAATTGACGGCGGTGGTTGGTGGCGGGTGGGTGAGGGGAGGGGGGGTTAGGGTTTGAAAAGATGTTTTAAAAAAAAATCACAACAATAATTTCATGGATATATATGACACGGAGCGCGCATATATATGCGCGCGCGTGCGTGTGTGTGTAACGCTAACTGCCGCCGCTAAAAACCTGAACCTTGGTTTTAAAGAATAACAAAAAACCAAAGACGACCCACAGTCAAAGTGGCGTGGAAGGAGGTTGGGGGGCGAGGCGAGGCGAGGCGAGGTGGGGGGCAGGAAAGAAAATTTAAACTAAAGAAATAAAGAATCGTTTTTACACGACACACTTTGCGGGGGTAAAAGAACGGCACCACGTGGACATACAGTGGAACCCTTCGAATGCCGTGAGGTCCGGAACATTGCCCGATGGGTGATGATTTTTTGTTGTTAATTTCTAACCCACCCCCCCACCCCACCGCGTTCTGCGCCCACCACCACCACCACCACCCGCGGATTTTATCCACGCCGGGTGGTGGGGGGGCTTGCCGGGGCCGGTCAGGACCAGTTGGGACCAGTTCGGACCAGCCGGGACTAGCCAGCACCAGCCGGGACCAACCGGGCAAATTTGGACATCGCAACTGCATGGCCCCCCCCCCCACCCCACCCCCGTACCCCCCTCAACCTCCACCCCCCTCACCTCACACCCTCCAACCCGTCCTGGCGCCCGCGTGAGAAACGTGGTCACTAAGCCGACCGACTTTTCTGTTTGCCGGACCCGGCTTCGCTCAGCGGACTTGTGAATTTCCGGCGCGACACTGAGCGGGTTCCATTGTATGCGTTGTAAACAGTCACCCGAGAAAACAACAGGTTTGGGGAGGGGGGCGCGCAGGGGGAGGGGGGGGTAGGGAGGGGGGCGCGCGGGGGGAGGGGGGGTAGGGAGGGGCACGGGGAGGGGGGGGCTCGCGGGGGGGGGGCAGTGGGGAGTTTGCCCCGCGTGCATGCGTAATAGTTCCGTGCACCCCAGGATGCCAACGCGTCATCTTGCGCGGCGGCCTCGTCCGCCAAAGGAACGGCGAGCGTCCGTCGAGAGAGAGAGAGCTGTTGGTTGTTTTTTTGTTTTGCGCTTAGTTTGTTGTTGTTGTTGTTGTGGCGGCTGTTCCGCCACCGCCACCGCCGCCTCCACACGTGCGTACGGTGCGAAAGAAGTTCAACGTACGCACGGTACGAGCAGTTCAAGATCACCGCCGCCGCAGCCACTACAGCCGCTTCCCCCCCCGCCTCCTCTCCCTTGCCACCAAGCCGAGGCGGACCCATCGGCAACTCTCTGCGCCCGAAAAATTGACCGGCAAAAAGCCCCACCACCACCAACACCACCGCCACCACCGCCGCCGCCACCACCGCCGCTGCGTCGTAGTCGTTTATGGCGGCGGCGGCAGCGGTGTCGGTGGCGCTTCTGTTCCAAGAGCCGCTCCTTGCCCGAGTCCCTCTCGGTTATCTCGGCTATCACGGCTGCGGTGACGGCGGCTGCGGTGACGGCGGCAGCGGCAGGAGCAGCAGACTCGGGCTGAACGATTTGGGGAAAATGTCTAATTGCGATTTTTCTGACAGATATTGCGATTTGCGATTAAAATTGTTAAAGTCGAGCTTCAGTTCAATATTCACCGTCTAATAGATTTTCAAACACGTGATGATGGAGCGTTACCACGTGATCCCATCAAAATATGAACTGCTCGAAATATTCTAATGCAAGGATGAGAACTTAAAAGATACGAATTGCTTCCAACATGCATTTATTAAAATGTTTTAATCGAAAGAGAACGATCAAACATGGGACAATTGCTAAGTTAAATAAATAAGGTTAAAACAATAAAACAATTCCAACGAGAAAGTAACAGGGACTTTTTTGAAATCGCCAAAAAAATCGCAGCCTTTGCGATGTGCTCATCGCATTGCTTCAAAGTGCGATTCATCGATTTGAAATCGATTCATCGTTCAGCCCGATCAGCAGCAGCAGCAGCGGCGGCGGCGGTGGCGGCGGTGGCGGCGACGCTTAAACTTGAGCTCTCTGGGACGAGTCCGCGTGGGGCCGGCACCATACACATGCTCCGAAGAGGAAGACACATATTCTGCGACTGTGGGGGGGCGGGAGGGGGGGTTGTTCGTTTGTTTGCGAACCATGGTGGGGTAACCTGCAGCCCAAGGTGACCCGGGTTTCCATTTGCCGTAGCTGTGTACGTGCACGCACGCGCGTGTAGGTGAGTGTGTGTGTGCGTGTGAGTGTGCATGTACGTGAGTGTGAGTGTGTACATGAGTGTGTGCGCGTGTGCGTGAGTGTGTGTGTGTGCGCGTGTACGTGAGTGTGTGTGCGTGAGTGTGTGCGTGTACGTGAGTGTGTGTGTGTACGTGAGTGTGTGTGTGTGAGTGTGTGCGTGTACGTGTGTATGTGAGTGTGTGTGTACGTGAGTGTGTGTGTGTGTGTCGAGCGTGGTGCTGACCACCCACCCCGCTTATGTGCCGTGCCGGCTTTCGGAGGTGCTACTCGTGACTAACAGCACTTGCCCCTACAGTCTGTTAGAGGCAACACGAGGGATCTTTGTCTTCTTTATAGGTGCTGCTGCTACTCCGCTAACAGCACTTGCCCCAACAGTCGGTTAGAGGCTACACGGGGGATCTTTGCCTTTGAACTCTCCGGCAGAGGTTAGCGCTGCGCTACGAACCCGGCGAACCCGGGATCGGTTCTCGCTCACGGCCAACACCCGTGACGAATATATGAACTGGTCCTGGGCCTCCCCTAGGTCGACTCGTCCTCAAATGAGCACCTGGTGCGGTGTGTGGTAATCATCGCCTCTGGGGAGACAAAGGTGGTCGGGCGTGTTTGATGGCCACCCACCCGCCCACCCCATCGCGTGCCGTGCCGGCCTTCGTATGTGCTACTCGCTGATGGCACTTGCCCCTAACAGTCTGTTAGAGGCTACACGGGGCATCTTTGCCTTTGCACGAGCCGTGCCTCCCGCAATGGCGACCAGGACCACCTTGGGCTGCTGTTCGTGGCCATGGGGTAAAGACGGCGTCGCGAATATGTCGGGGTCGAGGGGGTCAAGGTGAGGGGCTGGGGGGGGGGGGGAGTCAGGGCAAGGAGGGGAGGGGGGGGGGGGTTTGGGCACCCACCAGACTCGGCATGCAACTCATGGGGATGGTGCATCTGGCATGCCGGCAAAGAACCGCACGCACACACGCTGGCAGGTACACGCTCTGGCTGACACACGCACTCAGGCTGGCTGGCACACACACGCTGGCAAGTACACTCACGCTGACTGGCACACGCTGGCAGGCACACGCACAGACGCTGGCTGGCACACTCTGTCTGGCACACGCTGGCAGGTACACTCACGCTGGCTGGAACACTCATCACGCTGGCTGGCACTCTCACGCTGGCACACTCATCACGCTGGCTGGCACACTCACGCTGGCACGCTCACGCTGGCACACACACTCTGGCTGGCACACTCATCACGCTGGCTGGCACACTCATCACACTGACTGGCACACTCACGCTGGCACACACACTCTGGCTGGCACACTCATCACGCTGGCTGGCACACGCTGGCTGGCACACTCTGACTGGCACACTCACTCTGGCTGGCACACTCATCACGCTGGCTGGCACACTCATCACACTTACTGGCACACTCACGCTGGCACACACACTCTGGCTGG